TTTTTTTTTTGGAAGATCTTCTGATATTTGTGTCTTTGTGGAGATCAAAATGTCTTGACTAGGTTTCGGGAGAGGACATTAGGGGAGGAAATCGCTGATACTTCAAATATTTTTTTTAAATATTCGTAAATATTGAAGGAAGAAAGTAGTTGTTTTTGTCAATGATTTAGAAGTGAACGCTAAAAGATAACAAGTCCACTTGGTGTCGAGCCGAGTGAGCTTTTGTGGATTTACTATGGATCGGATCAGATTGACTGTTATTTTGTCTATTTGAGGGATTTCGTAACTTGTAGTCGAAAATCGTAATTGTATTTTAGGGAGCAGAAGACAGGCAATTTTGTTATGACTGTCGTAAGATATCATGCTCTTGTATTAACGCATATTTAATCTAGGATGCCGTAGAATAAAGGATTCTCTTTATGTATTCAAGCTTCGAGTTTATTTCTTCGACGGTTGCCTCGATTTTATTAGGAGGACAGTCTCTTGGGAAGGGAGTGGAGGTCTGGTGTTTTTAGGTGAGAGTACACAGGAATCTGTAGGAAAAAGACAATTAATATTAATTAATTGAACATTACCACCGTTTAATTGTTGATTTGAATTTAATATTAACATTACTAATTTGTCATGATTAATTAAAGAGTTGAAACAGTCTCAAACAATTTGAAATTTCATCAGGAATTTGGAATTGAGGTGACGTTTTCACTGAGCAAAATTATTGTAAAAATATTTAGCCTAACTTGAAAACTAATTAATATTATTACGTAAGTTAATGTGTTATCGAGCTTGGGTTTCTCATCGATCTTCGGACGTGGCTCGGGTTTGTAACTTTGTCCCAGAATTGGCTCCTCTAGTCTTTTTCCATACAGCAAGTGGCGTTCATGATGTGGAACTTCTTTCATGCTCTCCATTTCCTCGAAATCTTCAATTTTTGCACCCACATAGCCACCCTCGAAAATCTAATCGAACGGAAATTGTGAATGATTAGATATAAGGGATATTTCAAAGCAACTGTACAACGAAAAAGGATCCTCACGCATTGGTGTGTAAGTTGTATTCTTATTGAATAAGTATAAAACCTACGAGCCAATTTACTAGGGTCATGCATTTCATTGCACAGTTGATACGAAATGCCTCATACGATAATATCAATAATGTAAAGTTCGAGAGACCTTGATCGTTGTTGAAGAGCCAATTCGTTTCACATCCGGGGGAAGACTGTAATTTTTTAAGTACTCAGATACTGGTATATCCGGTATCAGATTCGTCCATGGCTTCAGTGTCCCGAAAGTTGAGATATAACGTCCAGATAGGGACCACAACCGCACAGTGTGATCTCTGCTTCCGCTAAAATT